TTGACAGTAGCTTTACTGTTATTGAACCAAAAGAAATTGTTCATTTAACCCACCAGAATTTTTTCTGTGTAAGAACACAAAATGTAAACAAAACTGAAAAGAAAACAAAAAGAAATGAAGGAGCTGCACCAACAAGAAAACAAAAGAAATATGAAGTAAAAACAATAAACACAAAAGAACGGAAATATGAAGTATTTCAATCGAACAAACTCGAAGAAAGGGGAAAAGGAAGACACACGCGAACTTAAATCAAAAGTGCGCGCGCGCGCACAGTCGACGAACGGCCACACTGGCTATACGACGGCTGGGCACACTAGCGGAGGCCAAAAACCGGCAAGGGAGCTGGCCACACTAGGGCCTTGCCGAGTCCTATATAAAGCGGGCCGCGGCACTGGAGAAATCACTCAGCCGATGATTGCGATCGTAATCACCCAAGCAGCCAAGTCACTTTTTCTGGAACCAGGTAAACCCAGGTTCCCCAATACATTGTAGTTAGTCGTAGTCTTCCCCGCTAACCCTCCTCCCCCCTCCTTGCTGACTTTCGAGTCCATCTCTGCCGACTTCCGGGTCCAATCCTTGCTGACTTTCGGGTCCGATCTCTGCCGACTTACTAGTCCAACCCCAACTTCTCTTTGCCGACTTACGAGTCCAACAACAAACTTCTCCTGGCCGACTTTCGAGTCCAACAACAGCTTCTCCTTGCCGACTTTCGAGTCCAAACAACAACTTCTTCTAGCAGACTTTCGAGTCCCACAGCAACATCTCTGAGCTGACTTGCGAGTCCAACAGCTACACCCTCCGGGCCGACTTTCGAGTCCCTTTTCCATCCTCCGAACCCAAGTGACGGGCGGCACACGGACCTGCGCGTCCAGCAACAACCATCTGCCGCATCCCGATCGGAGCCAACATCTTCTCTTCTCCCTCTTCCCCAGGCACCATCTGCAGCCGGCGGCATCCCGACGCGAGAAGCCTACGCCCACCGTCACCCGGGATTCACGGATCTGATCTTTTCCGTCGCTCGTGCCATCACTTGGTCACCAGCGCGGCCCAAATCCTGATCAATTTACCTGACTGTAATATTCCGTCAATAAACCGTACTCTTACTCTTTACCGTATTTCCCTCTCGAGTTCTCCCTGGGGGGCAAACGGATCGGGGAAAATCTTTACAGCAACCACGCCTGAACCAAATAAATATATCTGCACAGACCCTGGACGTCCCGCTGACTACCCGTGGACGACAGGACGTTACAACCCCACAAAAATCTACAGTTCACATGTATGCCAATGTCTTTGTCGGGCTTTTAAGGAGACAAATGTGAAAAAAAAAATGTTGCCGAAATTTGCCTATGTGTCTATAATCTTAAAAGTACTATCACAGGTGAGGGTAAGGATTTTAATATTTTTTTTTCGTATTTTTTTTTTTTTTTTTAATTAAAGCTAAGTACTCTGACGACGAAAATTTGCTGTGACACGTGTTACAGCACAATCGTTATTTATTTTGCTACCGAGCTAGTGTGACCAAAAAAATTAAGGAAAAGCCTGAAACGCCATGAAAAGGGTAATACTGAACCGCTGTCGTTTGTAAAACAAAAAACAAATAAGCAAAGATGAATTCAAACCGATTGGATTTTTGTGTTTTGTTTATGTATTTCGCCGCTAAGGAGCTTAAGAAAAAGAAAACTGGTCGTCGCGCCAGGTCTTTCATTATATCGCCCCAGTAGGTGACCAATGAACGAATGCTTGTGGTCTGCGATGCTAGGGTCTTCTGCAAGTCGACGTACTCCGTAAATTTCTGAGTTAGAACACAGCTCTCAGCCGCCGCAGTCTTGCGCTTCTTAGTTGCTGGCTTCTATTAAAAATAGTTATTTACAATTAATTATTATAATTTAAAATTAGCCCGATTCCCTACTAACATAGGAATAAGTGCTGGAACTCTCCTTCTCCATGTCCTCTATTCCCTTCTGCAGCTGTAGCTCTTGCTCCTTCAAAAATAGGACTTTTAATTCTCGGTCAGGTTTTGGTTTATGAAATGTTGATTTAAAAACACGCCAGAATTTCACGACAGCGGGAACCTTCGATCGTCTCCCGAAGATGCACCCCTTCGGGTGAAAGAAGAGAGATTGACCCGGTTAATTTCTCTTAACAATTTCACTGTACCGTACCAAAGCCCTTATCCGCAATTTCCCTCTGACACCTAGGTGGCGCCACCGAACCTCGCAACCAAGCGTTACATGTTTGGGGTGTAAAAATAAATCAAATGAATTATTGTTACACCCCGAGATTACTATTTCGATCTGGCAACGCCATTCAATTTGACAGGCATCATTTTCGTCGTTAGAGTACCGGCAAAATCTAGGAGGGACAAATTTCTTCTTCTTCTTTTTTTCACACCGTTTTTTTTATATGGAGTTTTGACGCTGTAACACATGTTACATCGGATTTTCGTCGTCAGAGTACTTAGCTTAAAGGTTGAATATCTTAAAAATATTGTGTGAAAGTTTCACATCGATTATTAGAAAATTGACGAAGTTATGGGTAGTTGAACGGAGGTCGTTTGGAGTTCGATGTATGAGTGTCACAAAGTTTAAAGCGCTCTCCTAAAAAATGCCATTTTGAAAATCGGTCTACTTGATAACTCAAAAACTACTTAACCAATCGGTTTGAAATTTTGAACATAACTTTTTAATTTAATTGTTCAGGTACTCATGTAGAGCTTTTTTTAATTTTAAATTTTATTATTTTTTTCTTAACAAATTAACTTAATTTTTTAATCAACAAATCCGGCTTTTGACTTCCAATTTCGATACAAAGTCGGGAAATATTTTTGAAAATAAAAGCATCATCTGAGTACCACGGGGCACTTATTTTTTAACGAATGCAATAAATTTTTTTGATATCGGATGTTTTTTTGGACAATTAGGATGTACACCGAAAATCAACTTTTCTTTTTGTGGGGACTCAGGAGATTCGCAATATCTCGTAGGCCTGTAAATATTTTTTAATACAAAAATTTAAAAAAAATTGAACAAATGTTTTGTTAATTTATGGTATTTAATTCATTAAGCTAACTTTAGTCGTTTCGCCAAAATATTTTTTTGAAAAGTGTGCAGTTTAGTTTTGCACCAAATTAACCATACCCCCCCCTTAAGCTGTGTGCATTTGTTGCTAGACTAAAATACACAATATATAAATTAATAATTTATTCTTACTTTTGGGCACTTATATTTCACCAACATTCTCATTAAGAGATCAAAAATTAATTTTAGGTCTTGAAAAAAAAATAATATTAAAATTTTGTATGGAAGCTATATGATGTAGAGATCCGATTTTAACCAAATTTTGTAAGAATGTGTAAACCTGTACCGAACATATAATCTGTGCAATTGGTTAAGATATTTTGAAAAACAATAAAGTTTTCCATACTAAATGTTGATTTTTATACCCTTGCAGAGTATTATAATTTCAGTCAGAAGTTTGCAACGCAGTGAAGGAGACCTTTCCGACCCTATAAAGTATATATATTCTTGATCAGCATCAATAGCCGAGTCGATCTAGCCATGTCCGTCTGTCCACCTGTCCGTTTCTACGCAAACTAGTCCCTCAGTTTTATAGTTATCTGAATGAAACTTTGCTTATAGTCTTCTATATACTCTCACTGCTATATATGTCGGAACGGGCCGGATCGGACGACTATATCATATAGCTGCCATACAAATGTTCGATAAATTTTTAGAAAAAAAATAATATCTTGGCTGTTTTTCAATATTTTTGCATAATTTTTGAGATATAGCCATTTTATATTATTCCAGAATTTTGGTAAAAATTTTATGAAAAACGGACCACTATATCTTATAGCTGCCATAGGAACGATCGGGAAATTAACCGAAAAAAATTATAACTTCGTTGTTTTTCAACGTATTTTCATCTACTCTGAGATATAAGCTTATTTTATTGTTCTAGAATTTTGGTATAAATTTTATGAAAATCGGACGACTATATCTTATAGCTGCCATAGAAACGATAGGGAAAGTAATAGAAAAAATTACAACTTCGTTGTTTTTCAACGTATTTTCATCTACTCTGAGATATGAGCTTTACTTATTATTATAGAATTTTGGTATACATTTTATGAAAGTCGAACAACTATATCATATAGCTGCCATGGAAGCGATCCGTAGATGTAGAGAAAATGTAAAGCTGGGAATGTATAACTGTAACTATCAAACTGTAAACATAATAAGTATAGGTAAAATGTTCTGAAACTCTGTTTAGTGTCTGTTTTCGGCATTATAATTTATAATATAAATATGAAAAGCAATCTGCAAGGGTTTACAAACTTCGGCGTGCCGAAGTTAGCTTCCTTTCTTGTTAACAGATTGTTCCTATGGCAGCTATATGATATAGACGTGCTATATGGCCAATTTTGTGGATATACTTAAAACATTTTTCTAGATTTTTGGTGAAAATTTCATAACGATACATCAACTAGAAGTATTTTTGGCCGCGGCTCCATACAAGCCCAACCACCGTGTGCTGGTGTCTGGTTGCACTGGGATCTAAAATATGCCATTGAGGCTGATAAGGTGCACATTCTTTCTCCGGCAAGGTTATCGAATTCATCAATCGAGCTACCGTATGTGTTCGTTGCAGACGGCGCTTTTGCCCTGACAGAGTATATGATGAAGCCATATAACAACTCAAATCAATTGGGAAGTCGTCAGAAATTTAATTATATGTTGTCGAGAATCAGATGCGTAGTTGAGAACGCTTTCGGAATACTGGCCAATCGTATCCAAGTGTTTTTTCAAGCAATGAACAGAAGTCCACTGGAAGCTGCTCATATTATTACATGCGTTTGTTTACATAATTTAAAAAGAGAAGATAATATAAAAACAAAGTCAACATTAGCGCGGGAATGACGCTCAATAGAGCGGCGTCCAAGTGATCCCAATTTACGCAATTTTTTAATTGTTTAAGCGTTGTTTTTTTCTGTGGCCGACATGGATCTACCGTGTGTGCTGTGCTGCAGCAAGGACGATGATGAGCTGGTCTTTGGCGAAGTGCACAAGGAGGAACAGTTGGTTGTGCACCGCAACTGTTTGTACCTTAGCTCAAATCTTGTAAAGAATGGAAACGAGCACACCGGCATTTTGAGCTTCCTCAAGGAGGACATTTTGATGGAGGTGAGGCGCTGCCATCTGCTCAGGTGCTTCTACTGCCAACGCCTGGGTGCCAACATTGGATGCTGCCGCAAGAGGTGCCGGCGCACTTTCCACACCAAGTGCGGCTATGGCAACCTGGCGGTTAGCCAGTTTAGCGGCCGCTTTAACTCATATTGTCACAAGCACATACCCGAGTACCGCATCCAGCTGGGCACCGCGGGACATTGCGTGATCTGCTTTGAGTCGGTGGTGGCCAAGGGCCACCGTGCTGTCCGTGCTGTCGGAACGGCTGGTACCATCGCCAGTGCCTTCAGAAGTACGCCAATTCGGCGGGCTACTCCTTCAAGTGTCCGCTGTGCAACGACAAGGAGAAGTTTGCCAAAGTGGCGCTCTTTGGGATCTCGATACAAAACCGTGACGCCTCCTGGGAGCTGGAGCCTAATGCCTTTGCGGATCTAATGCAGCGAGCGGAGTACTGCATCTTGCCCGATTGCCGCATACGGCCTTCAGCTACTAGCGCTGCTGACCTGCTCTACTGCATTCTGTGCGCCTCCAATCCGATGCACACGCACTGCACCTTCGAAACGGCATCAACGTACCGCTGTGACGATTGCATTGTTATAAAGCGTTGCCTCGGGCTCTGATGAAAGCGATTCGGAGGTTGATGTCTTTGATCGACTGGCAGAGCTTTTACAGCGGCAACGGATTCGCTCACCAGCGTAATTGTTGCCGAGACCAGAAGCCGCCGTATGATGCCACCATCGCAGCCAAGATATGCTTCCAACATGGACGAGTCGTGTGTGGCCAACAGAACCCGGACCCGTTTGCCTTCCTATATAGCACTGAAGAGCTTTATATGTTTTATTCATAATCTTTCAATTCATATTATTTTCAAAATTAACGCCTTTCCTTTTGGCAGCTAATATTGTTCATTTTAAATGTTTGTAAAAAACCTATGCTTAGAATAAGGATTAATCTTAGTAAGCAATTTTCAAGAACAGTTCATGAAGTGTTTAATGATAATCTTATATATAAATATGAATCCTATGTTTTAATTTCTTAAAAAATTAGATCTAATATCCGATTATGGAGCCATTATATTATCAAGTTTTGAAGATTTCGAAGTGGATCGCAGACATTTGAAAACAACAGCAAGAGCGGAAAGAATAAGATCCTTATTTAAAATATATATTTCAGTGAGCAATCATAAAACACAAATAAATGAAAATCAGATCATTTCAAATATAACGTTTTCTTTTTATTTCAAATTAATCTTTTTGCATATCTCTGTTGAGCTGCTCCGTCTCCACCTCCAGCATAGTTTCCGAAATAACCTTCCTAGCCCGTAGCTGAAGGTCAGCGTCGAGTCGTCCTAGACATTGACCGATGTACTGGGAGAAGTAGTTCACCTTGTCCACCTCGGGTTTTTTGTTCACAGCGGATGCGATAGTGCTGGCGGACTCCATTATTGCTTTTGCCATATAGTCATCGCTGTTGTGAATTATTCTTTTTCTTTTTGAAGCATGCCGAGCAGTTGCATGGCTAGTAGATGGGCCGTCTATATCGTTCAGCTGCTGGCTAGACGAGTCTAGACCAGAGCTGATCTCCGAGTCTGGGAAAATCCCGTCCAAGCTAGAATCATCCAACATCTACAAGATCAAAAAATGGGGTTTAAAAGTATATGTATATATGCATTGCATGTACATTGAAACCAATCTTACATTAAGGCTTCTATTGCTGATATTATTGACGCTTGGCAAGGGACTGGTTAAGAAACCATTCTGCTTAAGAAATTCATGTTGGGTTTGTTCTTCCAGTTGTCGATTGCCTCTAAACTGGCCGAGTCGGCTCCGCTCTTCTTCGCCTTCAGCAGTCTTTGACTCTCGTGATTGTAATACGACTTGTGATTGTTCCAATTCCTAGTAACTTCAACTAAATGTGTAAAAATTAATTAAATGTTTTAAATATATATTTACTTTTGCCACATAGTTACTTGAACAGACCGGAACTGCTGGATCGAAGTTTAAATTTAGTTCCTCCGACAATTGGTGCCAAATTTTTAGCTTTAGGTTCTGCACCTTGTATGCTGGACTTTTGTGGTTCCAAATGAATTCGTCAGCCTGCACACTTTCAATTAAGGGGGGATATATGTACATGTAAACCAATTTTTTTTTGGGAAATTTTGTTTTTTTTTGTTTAAAAAATAGTTTATTACTTAAAGAATATACTGTGTAAGTTTCATTGTCGAATTCCAACTTTAAGTGCCTCACATCAAGTATGCACGCAAGGTTCACTAGTTTTAACGTGGGCGCATCAAAAACTTTAATCGTCATTTTCTCAGCTTCTAATTTTGGAATTTCTACCTATGCTATGGACACGATTCACAAAAAACTGCGTAACATATCGGAGTGAATAAAAAATGATTATGATCAGCATGAAATTATCTTCTATTTGAACCTAAATGGTTGTTATAAAACTTTGTATTACTATTTTTTTAAAAGGGTGGGAAGTGAAAACTGATCAAAATTTACGAAAAATGACCAAATTTTGACCGCTTACATGTATATCCCCCCTTAAATAATTGGTCATTTCTTCTGTGAAAGCCATTTTCGACATTTTTTTTCGCTTTTCTTTACCTTTTAAAATTGGTGTGACCGTAGTCGTGTTACCAAAATAATCCAAGCAAAATTACACATATAGTGGTCTCTTTCAAGGTTTTAATGAAGTAGCTAATTAATGAAATCTGCATTAGAGTGTCATTCGGCCATTAAAAAGGAAAGCGCGTAAAGAGTACGTAAGAACGGGCGACGCCAGGTACCACCAAATTTACGTGAGACTGGCCAATCGTTTGCGCATTAATTAGAGACTTCATTAAAGATTTGACATCGCTATAGCGTTTTACACAAGTGCGAGCAAGACGACTATATGGCGCTCTAATGCATTAGAATAATGCATTAGCTACTTCATTGCCGCGATAATCGATAGATCTACATATTATATACTAGATACTCGATAACAAAATACGGGTTTAATGAAGAAAATTGTAATTGAAAAATGTATTAGCCAGCTCATTGACAGTATGGTCTCACAATGAGAATTTTATTTTTATATCATTTCGCTGGTTTTTTGAACTGGAAAAATATTAGAAAATTAGGAAAAATAATATGTTTTTCGAGGGCAAGGTTCTTACGCTGTAAAATTAATTTAAAAATTGTTTTTGGTAATAATTTAAAAAAATTTAAGCATTATAGGTTAAAAACATAAATTTAAAGGATTCTGCATTTATTTATGCAAGAATACTTCGACGAGGAATTCAGAAATTCATAGTAATACGCCTCGAATGGCGGCCGCTTTTTTTGTTTACCTTTTACGGTCGGTGTGACCGTAGTCGTATTACCAAAATAATCCAAGCAAAATTCAAGCCAAATTACACAAAATTACACATATAGTGGTCTCTTTCAAGGTTCTAATGAAGTAGCTAATTAATGAAAACTGCATTAGTGTATCATATGGGCATTATGAAAGCTCACCAGCCATTTTAAAAGGATCGTCGTCCCCAAGGCCCCACTAAAGGATCCCGCTGGAGAATGGTGCTATTCAAATGAGCAGAAAGCGGAAGCTTTTGCTATTTGCTTAGAGGACAGGTTCAAACCTTTTTTGTATGTCCCATATTTAAATACGCTTTCCAAATATATGGTAGTGCAGCGAAAACTAACTTGAACAAAATTAGGGTAGCGCAATCCGAGATCCTAAGGAAAATGTCTGGTATCCCAGACTCGCGGGACCTCTCGCGACCCCCGGCTACGCCCAGGATCGGCGTACGCTGGGTGGTCCACCCGGTCAGGCCTGACGGCTATGAGCCAGCCGGGAGGCCCCGGTCGAGAGCCATCATCCTCGCCGGAAACCTCCAGAGCTCGGACGAGACCCCGCCGGGCCGCGTCGAGCTGCGCACCACCGCATCGCCCAGACGACGACGGCCTTCGAGCCCCGCCTCCAACACGCGGCACATCGTCCCACTATACGGACGCGAACGGACGTAGGATCTACGACGCTCCCACCAACGGATTCGTGTCGGGCCGCTACACGCAATACTTCGCAGACTCCTTCCCCGACCGCCACCAGAGTCCATCCGGGTCATCCGACACGGAGGTGTATAACCCCTGCGATCGGGACGCCGACTACCGCTCGAGTTCCGAGGAGCGGGAAAGCCCCGAGAGCGACCAGGAGTTCGTCAGTGACGACGAGGACGAGCCGCCGGCCACCTACGTCGAGGACGTCACTGACGACGAGGATGAGCCACGACCCACCTACTCCGAGAGCTCCGCCGACGATCGGGAGGACGACGACAGCGTCCCACCGGAAGGTGCACAACATTACCGCTACACCGGAGAAGACCGGTACTGATATCAGCGGGGATCGTGGGCATACCTCATTCATACGATCTACGAGACCATCCAGGTCGAGGTCCCGTGGCGCCCATCCGAAAGCCCGATCGTCACCTTCCCGGCGTCCCCAGAGCACCTGTGCATTCTGGGCGCGGATACCCGCACTGTACCCGAGTACGCCAGGACCTGTGACGATTACGGCGTGCCGGGAAACCTGGCTCCGACACCGTCGAAGCCCGCAACGACGACCCAGTATGATGACCCTCCGCAAGACATCGAGATGCGGGACGCCACCCCTACCACCTCGGACTCCTCCAGCCGCCCACACCATCCAACGGGCAAGGCAATGGAGTGGGAGTCCGAGTCGAGCGATGACGAGGAGAGTACGGACCAGCGTTTCCGACGCAAGGAGCCGTCCTTGACACTGGTGCCCTACCAACCGCTACCCAAGCACGCACCAGTCGCTGCTGCGCCAAACCGGGTGACCGAGGAAGTCGACCCAAACCCCGTCCTCGAAGCCGCCACACCGCCTGCGGCAACCCCGAGGTCCAGCCCCCTCAGCGCCGCCATGAGTATGTCATCGGGGACCATCGGTCAGCTCCTAGACCAGATGCCAGCCGAGGCCTAGGAGCTGATCTGGGCCGTTCCAGAGGAATGGAACCCCGACGGACTCATTAGTCCACCTCAGGACTTCCGCGGCGGACGGGAGAGGAGCCCAGCACGCGCGAACTAGGACCCTCCGGAAGGCGAGCGCTATCCGCTACCGGACGGATGGGCTTACAACCGGCCGGACCGCCACGTTCCCGCCGTCGTGTGGCAGATGATTAACGCCCGACTAGCAGCCGCCCAGCACACCCGCCAACGCCTACGGGTGAGGACCGAGGAGAGGTCCTACCAAATCACCCTCCGACCCAGCGGAAGAGGGACCGTTTCTTTCGTTCCCCGAAGTGGGGAGAATTTGCCCCAGCTGCGTGCCGTGAATGCGGAGTCATCTCATATTTCTTATACTCTTATTGTTAAAATTAGGCTAAGTGTAAATATTTCTTATTATAATAGACTAACATTAAGGGGGTTTCCTGAATTAGGAGGCAAAAAAAATCGATTTTTTTTTTATTGCTTAAATCGATAGATAAACTATCTAAGAATATACCACAAAAATTTCAGAAGCCAATTCGAAGTATTTTCGAAGATACAGAGATGAAAGCAAAGGAGCGCCGGGTAGGTTTGCAGGCGCTTGGCGAACTTTGAGGCCCGTTTTC